AGACAATTTCCCTAACTATCATAATTTTTCTGGCTTTCTAACTTTATGACAAAAACCATAACAAATTCATCCATCTAGTTGTTGGCTTTCCCATGGGAATGGATCTTGTACTCTGAGTGAAATTGGCGATTACCTGTTCAGAACACAAAGTTTTACAATATGTAATTTGATAGATGAAAACTTTGGCTTTCTATTGGTTATAGGTAATGTATAATTAAACAGAGGATTATTAACAAATCCTGAAAGAGATTATTTGACAGGTGGGTGTGGCAGGAGGGGTCTGATTTTGTATTTGATAGCTCTGTAACCAGAATTGAAGGCTATAAAAATTATGGTTTGTCTGAACAATGATGAGATTATAGTGAGTAATTTATGTTAAATTTTTTACTTTATGGAGAAGTGGTCAATAAAATGGAGAAAAGAAGATGCCTAGAGAAAATGTATCACACCAGGGGGAAATTCAGGATTTTTTTTATATTGCCTTATAGAATTAAGAACTTAAAACTTGTATGCTATTAAAATATGGATTATTAGCTGACATTTTATGCTATACTAATTGGTATAACATAAACAAAAAGAAGATTAATAAAATTCTGAATGTATGTCACTAAAATCACGTATGTCATGCTCAGTAGAGGATGCCCATGGCAATAGGGTTAAGCAGCTCTCTCAAAACAGCAGGCAGTTCTGTAGATTTAAATTTGCTATTTGTACTTTTAAAAATTATTTGTCATTCACACTGTAGAACCTAAAGAAAGTAGATATAGACTAGATGTACTTCTGCAGGGTTCCTGAAAGTGTTCTGTTTGAAGAGTAAATAAAACCAAAATTTAGAGTAACAAATATTTTTATTTCTTGCTTTTCAAGTTCTTATGTCATGGTGTGTTGTAGCCTATAGAGTGCATAATTCTTCTCGTGATTCATGGCATGCACACATTTTACTAACGACACAACAGTACAAATTGCAACATTAAGTGTTCCTTGTGTGACGTCGTTTTAGTGTCTACTGACTGACTGGCAGACGACACACTACTGTGGTGTGAGTGGTTAAAATAGGTAACCCCCTCCAGGTGGCCTTTGGCCCCCTTTTGGGGAAAAAATTATAATATGGCACATGCTAATCCTCATTCACCCTAATATCATGTTAATTTTGGGTTACAACTTGTGTAAGGTTCTATAAGTCTATTTGGGATCCACAATTACTACTACTACATCAACACTTAAATGTGAAATCATGCTTTACATGAGTCAGAGTCACTAAACTATTAAAATTTTTGTTTAAAAGAAATACTTTATCACTTCTTGTTAGTTAAACTACAGTGAAACTTCAGTGTTTATATCTCTTTAGAAGCAAATTATAATTGTTAAAGTTAACATTCCCGATAGGAACCAATATGCTTAATTTATTTAGTCAAAGGATTTCCTTAAGTGATTTAGAGCTTTTAGACCCAGCAGTTTTTCATTACTGATATATTATTCTGCTTTTGGAGCTTATGTATTTTAAAATACTTTAAACATCACCCTATGGATTAACACATTTTTGTAGTTTTGATTTTGTAGTTAGCAGATAAGATCACTTTGCATTTAGTACTTTTTAATTGTTTAATGTTTTTTTTAATTTGTTGGGAATATAATATTCATGTTTTTATGTTTTATATATTTGTGCAGTGCCATGTAATATTTTGCATAATTTACATTTATTATGGTTGACTGCATGATGAAAATTTGTATTTGTAGATTTAGTAAAGTTTAGAACAGTGTTACCAGATTTACAGCTTTTGACTTAGTTTGTTTCTTTCTGTTTGGCAAATGGTGCCAGCTGACCAGTTTGATTAATGACCTGTAAAAATACTTTTTATGTCTCAAAATGTGTTTCTTTTTGTTTGATAAAAAATATTTTAAGTTCTGCCACGTAATCAGTGCTCAAATGTTATTTTTTCTGCATAATCAGCAACTTTATGCCACATTGTTGGCTGGGTAATTTTTGAGATGCTATTTATGTGAAGGTGAGAATGAAACTAATATTCTCTGGTTTTTGATATCATTCTTTCAGGTACTGATGCCTTCAGTGCCTTGGTTAAGACTTGTGTCATCAGGTTTTTGATAACGTTTTTTTTTCACAATTACAGGTACCGGTGCCTTCAGTGCCTTGGTTATGACTTGTGTCAGCGGTGTTTCTTTCATGGCCAAGCTAGTAAAGGTCATAAGTTGAAGCATTCCATGCAGGAGTACTGTCAGCCTGTAAGTGTAATAACTTCAATCTTTTTGCAACCAAGCACACATATTTGACTGTGTATGGTTCTTATTATGTAGCCTTTTGCTATAATTTAAGCATTTGATGTTGGACTACTGCCAATCTGTGAATATTATTTTGTTTTTATGATCTGGATTTCATTATTACATGAGCAAATTCCTGATAAATTTAGGATTGCATTTTACATCAGCAAAGATTATTTTCTTAATAATGAAACAAATATCAGTTTTTCCAAAATAGAAAGAAAGCATATAGTAGTGCTGTAGAGAGAGACATGTATGTGCCTATGGTAATGCTTTAGAGAGTCATGTATGTATGTGTCCATAGTAGTGCTGTAGAGAGAGACACGTATGTAGCCATGGTAGTGCTCCAGAGAGAGACATGTATGTGCCCATGGTGGTGTTCTAGAGAGACATGTATGTGCCAATGCTAATGCTTTAGAGAGTCATGTATGTATGTGTCCATAGTAGTGCTGTAGAGAGAGACACGTATATAGCCATGGTAGTGCTCCAGAGAGAGACATGTATGTGCCCAAGGTGGTGTTCTAGAGAGACATGTATGTGCCTATGCTAATGCTTTAGAGAGTCATGTATGTATATGTCTATAATAGTGCTGTAGAGAGAGACACGTATGTACCCCTGGTAGTGCTTCAGAGGGAGACATGTATGTACCCATGGTTGTGCTCTAGAGCAGTGCTTCCCAAAATTTTTCAGCTCATGGCACACTTTTAATGTCCCAAATTTTTTGCAGCACAAGTAAATAAGTCTCTATGGCAGACCTAGTGGCACCCCCCTGACTTATACTGTGTATCAAGGTGAAAATAAATCAAGTTTGAAATTTTAAGAATTTATTAAATTAATAATAGATTTAGATTACTAAATAAAAATTACTTAATAACTACAAATATTCTGTGGCACACCTGAGACCCTTCTGCTGTACACAGTTTGGGAAGCATTGCTCCAGAGAGACATGTATGTGTATATCCATGGTAGTGCACAAGAGAGAGACATGTATGTGTATATCCATGGTAGTGTTCTAGAGAGACATGCATGTGTATATCCATGGTAGTGCTCTAAAGAGAGACGTATGTGTATATCAATGGTAGTGCTATAGAGAGAGAGACATGTATGTGTTTATCCATGGTAGTGCTATAGAGAGAAACATATGTCTGTCCATGGTAGTGCTCTAGATACTCTACTTCCATACTAATTAATATTGGATTACTTTAATAAAAATGCTGATCCTGCACTAATGGAATTCAATTTATTCAAACTTTTTTTTTCTGCAAAATAATTCTAACTCACTACTTAGTCTTTCCTTTTTTGTCTCTTTTACAGACGAGTTCTTGGGAGGAAACAAAGTCATTGTTGAAAACTCTTGGAAACAAGATCTATAAGTGGCAGGCCCACCATACAAAACACAGTTATCTACCTATTGATTCAGCTCCTTGTCCATCAGATGAAAGGTGTTGTATTTCTTAAAACGTGGTGTAAAGATATTAAAGTTTGTGTTTTTTTTTAATGTTTATCTAAAGTAGTGCTTTCTTGTGAAGAAATTGTCCTACACTTATTAAACATTTTCTTTCATAGTTTTCTATAATATCATATGGATATGGTATTTGTTTAAGAAAACAAATACCATATCCATATGATATTATAGAAAAACGATTATTCACAATTGGTTTAAAAAAAAATGCCTAAATTGTGATTTTTCTGTTTGTTGTGGATTAGTTAGAATTTATTACCTAATTTTGATTCGAAGACAATCGTATCTATAGACACTGTTATTGTTAACTAGCTTTCTACACATTCTATGATGTAAGTTGTTGACGATAGATCGCTGTCTCTCTACAACTTACATCATAGAATGTGTAGAGAACTAGTTGACAATAGATCGCTGTCTCTCTACTAGTTCTCTACACATTCTATGAGTAAGTTGTAGAGAGACAGCGATCTATTGTCAACTAGTTCTCTACACATTCTATGATGTAAGTTGTAGAGAGACAGCGATCTATTGTCAACTAGTTCTCTACACATTCTATGATGTAAGTTGTAGAGAGACAGAGATCTATTGTCAACTAGTTCTCTACACATTTTATGAAGTAAGTTGTAGACAGACAGTGATCTATACCATTTGATCTCCTAGTAATACCAAGTGTTTCATCTGTTTATGGAACTATGATCAGTTTTTGTTTCTACAGTTTGCTAGATGGAAAGTCTAATAGTCTTACTTTCTTTCACTAATCAAACTGGATACTGTCTTCTAAGTTCTCTGCTGATCATTAGTTTGGGGGCTACTAGTTTATAAGATTTACATTTCTAAAGAGAGTGACTTTAAGCAGCTATTACAAATCTCAGTATTAAAGAGACTGTGATGTAGTCTAAAAAAGGAAAGAATCACAAGAATGTGAGAAGACCATTTCAACTATATTTTGATGATGTCTAGAGAAAATTACTGAAATGAAATTCATGTTCATAGTAAAACTAAACTTCACACAGTTTGTTAAATGGGTGTTGATATGTCATTCATCATGCAATATCTTTCACCTAATTTTATGAATATGTAAAATTTAATATATTATACTGGACTGTGGACTAGGATTTGAAATTTGATGGGCAGTCATTAAATCCCATGTATATCTTGGTGAATGTAGAGTGAATGATAAAGATGTTGATGAAGACCTAAGTCAGGAACTAGCTGCAGGGGGTGCTAAAGTTTCAAAAATGCTTCAGACAGAAGATGCTGAGAAAACACTTACTCCTTTGAGACAGGTAATTCTGTTTTTGTTGCTTTGCAGGTATGTAATAAGATGAATATTATAGCTTCAAATATATGTTAAAAGTAAACTTTACAACTGTAGAGCAATAAACTTACTGAAAAGTCAGCACTGAAGCTAAGAAGCTGATAAAAGTTTGAGAAAAGGGTAATAGTTTTTACATTTTATTCTTTCTCTTTCTTCTTTAAGTGAATTTTTAATGCTAGTATTATATATATGTATAGTAAGAGGTGTGGTAGAGATTTGTGCTAAACTTGAAGTCTCATAAAAACCAACTTGCTTTAAGATTTCATTCATTCATATTCAAAAAATGTACATTTCTTCCACGTTTCTCAGTTTGCCAAATGCTTAAATAAATAAGTTGGTAAAAGAAAATGATAATTAATCCTCTCGGTAGTGATCGTTAAAAAAACATCTTATGATTTTAAAGCCACCTGGAAGGAGGGGTTTGCTCGATCCAGAACACCAGCGAGAGTTGGAAAGTATAATTGTTAGACTAGAGGATGAAAATAGGTGAGTTTCACCTTAGTTGATTAACAAATATATATATGTATGTATGCATTTAAATAAACACTGTTTTTCTTTTCTTTCTGTAATTTATTTAATATTTTCCAGTATTTTATCACCTTTCCAATAAGTTTCTATTCAATTCCAAATGGAGTGATATACTTGTATATTTTCTCCTTGATGAGATTGCTAAATCGTACATTGTATAATAAATGTTCTTAATTTTTTGAGGAAGAACAGCCAAATTTGGCTTTCTTTCAAAGTACATTCATAATCTTTCTATTTTTAAAGTGAAATTTATCTGAGAAAAGGGCAAAGAAAAACTTATGATGGGTTCATCTAGGATTGTAACCTTTTATCTTTGTTTTGTTTCACACTAATGCAGTGTCTAAGATGATTTTGTTAAACTTGTTATAATTTGGCTAATCCAATTTGAAAATTTGGGACAAACTTGCAAATCCTGTAGCTAAATCAAACAGAAAACTGTAAAAAAATTGTGGATGTTATGTGAAAAAAAAGACTACCACAAGTTGTTCAATTTTCAAAATTTATATTTTGTTTCTTAAAATTTTATTGTTATACGTATAAAAAACAGACTATCACACAGTGCTTTACGTTTAGCAGTGTTCGTTAATATCTTGGTAATTTGGAAAATGTACTAAAAAATTTATATTTTGTTTCTTAAAATGTTATTGCTATACGTATAAAAAAGAGATGCTATCATACAGTGCTTTAATATCTTGGTAATTTGGAAATTGTACTATAAAAGAGTCAAAAACTGAATTTCATGGTGTGATGCCACATGTACCAGTGTATTAATGTAGTAATTTGTTATGTAATATTTGGTTTATATCATAAAAACACTAAAAATAACCCTAATTTAGTTTAACATTCCAATGTGATGCTAAATTCTATTCCTGTGGCAGTAATGTGCATAATGTAAATGAGAAAATATAGATGTTTAACACTCTAAAAGAATAACATAGGCCTAAAACAATTATAATGAAGCATATTTAGGTTTCTGTTTCTTTTTAATATTATTGAATACTACAACTTTTTTTTAATCATTTGCAACATAAAGCCATCTGTATATTATTTTATGATCTATGTTCCTATGCCTGCCTGAGCCCTGGTATTGGGCAAAAAGTCTCATTGGCACTGGATGTAGAATGTTTTACGTATTGTTATACATTCTTCTGTACTTTCACTCATACGTTTTTAGGATAAGGATACAATGTCATATGTTGCTCTACTTCTTGTGATGATTAAGTGTGAAGGAGTTCTTTAAGTGCATTTGTGCTAATGCATTACATTATTTGTGAGTTGGCAAACTTGTTTTATTCTTTTGCAAGATTTACATACTTGTAGTTTTTAACAAGTTTATAAGAAATGGTTTATCTCCTGCCATAATGTATACATGTTTATTTCAAGTTTTTTGTTGTCCACTTTATTTTTGGATTACCATATTTTTTGGTGTATAAGACACACTTTTTTACCCCAAAATTTGATGTCAAAATCTGCTTGCATCCTATACACCGAAGGTATGAATAATATATATATGTGTATATACG